TCACTCCATCACATACAGGATTATAACAGCCGTCTTACTCATGGTCTCTTCCTCTCGTTTATGTCATACTTTGCTCCATCAGAACTCATCATTGCAGTTTCTATCAACCCTGTTCCCTAGCCAGTGTTTCTCTCAGGGCTGTGGGGGATTGGACCCGGGGACAGGAAGCAGCTTGGCTCCCAGACAATGGAACACATCAAAAAGCAGCACCAGCCTCACCAGCTTCACACACACACAGAGCAAGACAAACAGGACATTCCAGCTGCCGGCTGCACCGGATTCCTCGCTTTGGCTAATCTGAAACGGAGAGTGAGACTGGGAGTGGAGCGTAGCAGGGACGAGAGTGAGGGAGATGGGGCGAGTCACACAGAGGGTGAGCAGGATACTGATACAAGGGTTAGAGAGGTCCAACTGCACAGGAAGCAGGAAGGGGAAAGTGGGAACCTGGGATAAACTCAGGTAGAAAATATAAGTTCAAGGAGGAAATGATGAAACAACACGCATTCAATTATCACCTTAGTGTGTCGATGTATATTTATACTTTTGTTACGATACTATTTCTGTCTGGGGTGTCAGGCAATAAAATTATCCTCTGATTGACAGAACAGGTTTAGAAAGAGAAAAATGATCAGAAGCAGACATCTTAAAACATGTCATTGACATTTTCTGAAATCTTAAACATTTAAAAAAGAAGACAGATGGTCTATATCATTCTCAGACCACTAGATATAAACCTGCTCACACTAATATCACCAGAGGGACCCACAAAACCCCACAAACACATCTTGGACCTTCTACTTCAACCTCAACTTTTTCTCAGAACTATGGATTGCACCACACTGACAGTGAGATATGCATCAGTGTGCACAGTGCAGGTGTCATTGCACTGCTATGTTGTCCTGGGGCCAAACTGATCGTGGGAAAATAGTAAGAAATATATTTCAAAACCAGATGCTCTGAGGGAGTCTGTGAAACCTTTTGGCATCCTGATCCAACTTTTTATAATTTATCTAAATTCTGTCTCCTATCTAGACCTATTCTGAGGAACAGGCCTAGACAAAACTTTAATGGTCTATGTTGTGAGGATAATAGGAAAACATTTGATCACGAGAAAAAAAAAAACAAATCACGGCCATGATGTACTGGCAGACTCATTCATAAACATGCACACCAAAAGATGACAATGGTGTTTCCTGATGGGATTCCCCAGACTCGTAAAGACAGCCTGTCGCCTGCTAAACGAGCACAAGTAAACTATACTAGTCTTCAGACACACTATGGATGATTCTGACCAACTTAACCCCATGAAGTAGGTTCACTTTCTCAAGCCAGATCTGTTAGCATAACAGCAGCACATAACCCTCACTGCACAGTGGGAAATATTTGAGATGGCTTTCCTCGGAATGTCTTGGTGTACCCTAGGAATGCCCCCTTTACACCAAATCTCCCTTTCGTCTCTTATCTGTAAACCACAGAGAATAAGGAACAGACCTCAACAAAAAAAATAGACTTCTATTTATCAGTATTATGTATGATACTGATACAATGTGTGAGTACAAATAAGATGTACTCACACTATTAGTGAAAAAAAAGTGTGAAAAAATGATCTTATAATCAAAGATCAAAGTTATAATCAAAATCTTTCCTAGGATTAGCAAGTTATCAGTGAATCTTGCAACAAACAAGAACTAAATATAGGCCTTACATGTAGAGATAAAGCCATTTGCATTCCTCTAGTTCTCAGCCTGTGGCCACCTTTGTAGTTGAAAGACAACTCTTTCTGTTGATTCGCCTTGAATACATTACTCATCTTCCTCTATTCTCACAGGTATTTAAGAACTCCAAGTAATGTTGTAAAACCACGTGAAATATATTTACCAGTTCTATTTCAGTTTATTTATTAATCTTGTCATCCATGCAAGCGCAGTTCGGTCCCTACACTCACTCCCTTCATACATCCCCCCCACCCCACAATTGCTCTCACCCCTCCCTTTCACGGTGTGGCAGTTCCTGTTGCTCTTGTTTTCACTTCCCCAGTCGTCTGGTGCGTGGGAACCAGTGTTTCTGTGTCTTAGTCGAAATTGCTGTGTGCGTGCGTGTTACTCTATCCGGACAGGACACTGACCTGAATGCACTTCATCATCAACATCAAATATAGAAAAATGTACTTACATTTCAGAGATCAATGCATCAAATCACATATCATATGAATATTAATAAAAGCAACTTGATCTATGATCCATATAAATAGGCCCAAAGCTATTTCTATAAAGTGGTAAAAAACGAATATATAATTATGCAATCACGCCATCAGTGACATATTTTGATCCGATTTTTTTGACGGAAAAGAGAAAAAGAGAACAATTCTCACTCTGTTCGACCCAAAGTGTCAAATAGTGACTCAAAGGGCTTTTTCTTACAAGATGGTTTCTTTCTTATTAAGATCAATACAGCATGTTGTGACTGGTTCTGTTCACAATATTTCATTTTTACAAGACAGGAAATGTCAAGACAAGGAAGTTGGGTGTCCCATCTTTTTTGCACATGAGTCAATGGTAACTTCCTCTGCAATTTTACAAAACTTTTTTGATATTCATGGTTTCTATTATCATGTGTGCAGCCGAGTTATGATTTTTACCATGAATACATTTTCAACATCAATTCAATCGCTGTGCAAGCACACGGGAGAGCACAGACAAATGAGAGGCCCTACAACATTTCACTTCCCCTCTTGGGGTCTCTGGTGGAGACACATTCCAAAATCTGTGTGGCCTATTGATACATGGACACAAACATTATCCCCATCCCTCCGCAGTCTTCAGAAATGTCTCCGGTTAATCTCCTGTGCTCTTGTCTTTTGCTCCTTCACTTTCCTTGCAGCATTCACCGGTGTGCAACAGCCACAACTTGCCATACAAAGGCAGAAAAACGAAGCCATCTGATGCTAGCGCTTTACAATCAGATAACAAAGGGGTGAACTTGCCTGGGTGGGCCAAAGAGTTGCCCCTGGGGTGAGACTCTTCTCTCCCCAACTCCCACAAATCAAGTCCATCCAACGTCTAGTGTTAATTAACAATGTTATAGAAGAAGAGCAGTCTACTTGAGCTGGATACCTACTGGTTCAGAAATGTGTCGTTCTAAGGATCCATTGTCTGCCTACTGTCAAAGGTGATCTAATAATACAGCATGTCAGTTTTGCGTCACACTTCTATAGAATAAACCTGTTCAAGTATTAAGTCTGTGAAATAAAGTCTCAAAAATGTATGTACGATGTGTGTCTACTACAAATGCAGTTTCCAAAGCACATTCGTTAACAACAGACAACGCTATTAGGGTACCATTTGTGCTTCCTTTTGCCAATATATTTCACGCAACTGCTTTAAAGTGGGCAATAAACAGTTGACCATTTTTGTTTAGAGACAACTGTAGCTCGTTTTTACAAAACAGAAGCTGCACTAGTCAGAAAGTGTCGACCAATACACCTAAGTTTTGGGTGTCCTGTCACAGAGCGCACACACAGGTTGCTCTAAAAAGCCACACACGGAGGCTTCCACAGGTCAGCCAGTGTAAATTTTGCCCTAATGGATCCCCAACAAACAAGCTCTTCAAACATCTCAGTGTAGGCCTGAGGTGAATACAGAGCAGCCCATTCCGAGTCTTAAGAACTCAGACAAGACCAAAAGGGTACTTGGGTGATTGTGCAACTTCTAGGATGTTGTCGACCAAAGAAACTCCAGGTAAGAGAGTTTGATATGACTTAAATATTAACATTTTTGCATGGAAATTCTTGGACTATAAATATCAGTTACCGAAAATACAAGATTCGGTCAACAAAGGAAGCATTAACATTGACAAGACAGACCCGCTGCTTTCAGCCCAGAAAATCCAAAAACTAATTTATCTTGTAAGTAACATACTAATTATCAATATGTAAATTAAGTCATAGATTGTCATAGACTGTTTCTGAGAATGCTGTGGAATCTGTTGCAAAGTTCACAGAATTGTAAATTGATGTGTGTCTTTTCAAAGGCTCATTGTGATTCCATTTTATTTTATTTATATCTTCCCCTTTCCATTGCCTCTTACACAATGCTTTTCAGTGATAGCAATTCTGGTTCTCAAGATTCAAGTATTGAATCAGCACAGCAGTGTTTTCTAACCATAGAAATGGCCTGCATACAGATGTCGTTCTCATAAATGAAAGGAATTCAAGTGGTTACGCCTTTTCACACATTTGGCTCAAATCTTTTATTCTCATTTCCTGTATACTTTAAACAAAAAAATAGGTCAAAACATGATTTTAAAATGAGGAGTGGGTACAAATATCCGGATGCTTCTTCCTACTCCCTTTTGAACCTGTGAATGGAACTGGTCACGTCTTGTTTCAAAATAACTGGAGCGAAAAACAAATGCACATCCAAAATCTCGCTTAGTGTGCTAGTCTCAAAAAAAAAAGGTTGATCAGAGATAAATTCTACACAGCTATTAATCTACCAAGAGTAATTCATTCTCAGTACCATAAGGATGTGACAATTTTTTGTGTAAGCTCTCAGTCGTACAGGTATTATTCAGAACAAATAGTACCCATCATCTGTACTTCAGTTAGAGACGTTTCGTTCTCCATCCAAACAACGTTCTCAAGGATATGAAAGCTCAGCCACGAGTTGGAGATTATAAACTCTGGGATCCTCCAACTTGCTGAGGAGCGTTCATTTCCTTGACAAAGTTCTTCGGATGACGAACAAAACATTGGAAAATCTAATAAGTGAAGTACAGATGAGGGATGAGCAACCTACCTTTGTTTTACAAGGCTATAAGGCTTTTATAATTTATGATGAAAATAAATAGCACATTAGATGGAGACTTTCACTTTGCTTAACATAAAAAAATTATATTCCATTAAAACATTTATAAAAGACCATTATCATTTGTTTGCATAAACATAATTCTGATGATAAATTCCACAACTAATTCAATAGAAAAAATAAATCAGAAAGTACCTGACAGCGACTGAATATGTCACTCGGGGTTGGCTGAATGTTGAAGTGTTTGAGGACATGGATGGCTTGGTCTCTCGCCTTCTCAGAACAGTTAAGCAACAGACAGCGACCTTCACCCACTTGAGACCGCAACTGCAATGGAATATTTACATCTGAGCAAAGGAGTTGAGAATAACTCATACTTGCACCCGTTTACATGTCTGTGTGCTCAGTATGTACTTACAGTTTGGTAGGGCTGTCCACAAGTCAGAATGACACGGTCTTCTCGACGAGCCAACTGAGAAAAACAAAAAGCACCCAGAGCTGGGTTAAATTTTACCTGGAATAGAGTTGAAACTAAAGTACCTGCACTACTGCCGTACCCCCCTACCACCACCACCACCATCATGATGATGGGGAAACAATACCTAAAGGGGGCCTTCTTGTTGAACATACTGTGCATTCTATTGCATCTTCTTTCATTCAGGATGTGTTCCATTTCATGCGTTTACTGACCTCTGCTGCTTTCTTGTGGTCATCGGTGTTCTCCAACATCACCACGTCCACTCCCAGGCAGCGCAGGGCCCTGCCTAGCCCCTGCAGCATGTTGTCACACACCACCCGGAACTGTTGTGGGGTTACAGGGGGGTGGTCCACACTGGACCACTCACCACACAGAAGGCCTTTCTCTGCAGCAGAACTGGGGGAGCTGACCCTTTGAGCCCCATGACATTCCTAAATGGAGAGAGACAATAATGCGATACTTAACTGATCCCCACAGGGGGATTTTCTTTTCACTTGCACCGCAGTGAAGAGAGGTCAAAGCAAAGGGGATCTACACAACAGCACCCCCGGAGCTTAATGGCATCGCTGAGAAGTCTTGGTCAAATGCACAAGTCTTCATTTCAACAAGAAGCTCTCTAATCTGAATACTGAGCCTAAAAGTGTAAGATATAACACACAGACATGTTGTTGACAGTTTTGAATAAAGTAAGAAAGGATGGGTAATTAAATGTACTTGATTTAACTTAAAATGTTCGAATACAAGCATAACTTTATCAACCTTGCACTGCAAGCTCATTTCATGTGTTGTTCGTGAACCAGACCAATTTTTTTTTATTTTGTCCATTTTCGTCTGCTATGATGAATCCAGAGTAATGTCATGGACAGAGACATTATCCAGTGAAAAGATGTACTTCCCAACTGTAACCTATAGATTACTGTTCCATGTTAGATGTTTACTAAAAGAGAAAATGGTAATATCTATTTTATACACTAGGTGGGGTTGTATCACTACAAATAATGTCTTCATCCATTACAAGGTTGTTATACAAGGCATGTTTAAAAGAAAACATTTCAGTAGTTCAGCATTAAGGAGAAAACTTATCGACCTCTTTGCTTTTCTCGTCTTCATTCTTTTCCTTTTTCTCTTGGGCATTTGCTGTTGAAACGGTGCGCAAGTCTGAAGGCAATCCAAAATCTGCAGGTCGACTTGACAGGACATTGTAGACATCGAGCAGACAGTACGCATCAGCCACTAAAGGAACAAGATGGTAGAAAAGTGTTTATTTTTCTCCCAGGGTGAAAAGCCCCCCCCGTTCACCAGGGAAGAACACATAACAGCTGTTCTCTGCGCAACGTGTCTCAGCGCATACATTAGCGCTCACCTGCATATCTAATTTGGCTGACGCGAAGTGGCCGTTTTTCCCAGCTGGACATCTGTTCACTTTTGTCCAGGGGATGTCCGAGGACCTGCTGCACCATCAGACTGAGGCCTTTCTCTGCCGAATCTTCGCCCACCAGCACCTTTTTGGGTCCATTCTGTGTCCTGTTCTTCTTACTACGCAGCATCTATTTAAATCATTATCAACGCAAATAATCAATAGAAGTTCATATCAAAATCATACAGAAATTCCTTTTATTTATCAAAAAATGTCAACGAACATACAATACATTTACTTTTTTAAATAGAGAGAAAAAGTTACGTTTTGGTGAACAGTGAGAAGATCCAAGACTCCTTCCACTTTGAGAGGCGGATCCATTAACTGGTTCCAGGTGGCCAAGAGACACTTGAGATCACCTGATGTACCATACCCTAAAGAAAGGCACAAAACAAGATCAAAGACAAAACTTTGATCATTTGGGTTTTTATGTAAACTTCTAATTATATACATTACCTAGTTTAAGAATGTTTGGATCAGAGAAGAGCTTCCTAATAAAATGTATGGTCTCTGGATGCTGGCAGAAACGTTTTTCACAAAGATCGATTAAGAATACTTTTTCAAAAACGGCAATCTGCACCAGGGCAACTTGCACAGTTGAAACAGTACAACCAAAAGTTGGTTGCCACTCCATATCCACTCCCACAACACCCTCCTAGAAGTTCCAAAGCAAAGCAAGTTACAGTTGTAGCAAATAGAGGTTTAGGATATACTCAGTTATTTTTACCTTCAGTAACAAAGGTTGATATTTCTGTAGAGCCTCTGGAGTGTCCACAAATATAACTTTGTCTCTAGTAAGAGGAACCTGGTAAAACCTCACAAAATGCTCTGAGGATGGCACCCAGTCATCACTTGGGATGGAGTCCAGAATAACGTGCCTAAAATCAAGGAAACCTTATTAACAAAAATAATATTGAATAATGCATTATATAGATCGAACTAATTTAAGCAGTACAGTTGGAAACCCTAAATACATTCCCTCAGAAAGAGTGAGGTTTTCCAGTGTTAAAGTGTAACAGTTACCAGTTATCTTTTTGCTGTTTACTTTCTTTGTTTTGTAAAATGAATAACATTTGAATACATCCATATTCTTTTCATAATACACATTCATTTATTTACCGTAAATGGTCCGGTAATGTCCGCTGAGTTTCCCAAACATTGCAGGGTAAGCGGTGTTGAGGGATGTTGTATCTGATCGACCACTGAGCTGCTTTGCGAAGAGAACTATACCTCACAAGCATCTCAACCAGCTGAATCTGAAGCTCCAAGTTATCGCTTATGATAGTCTGCAGAAAAAACACATTAACTATTTTAACAAGAGTCTTTAACATTGAGAAAAAAGCACCGACAGCTACCTGCACAAGCTCACTCCAGTTTTCTTCAGACATTCCATTCTGGGAACGGATAGCATCAGTATTTTAAAAAACAAGAGACATGGTGATATAATAATTATGCATTGGAATATGTACTCACTTCCACAAATGTCTTGTACATGAGGTAACGTAAGGAGTCTAGTCTCCTCTTATACAGGGCATTAGGACACAGTGCTGTAAGATAGAGATGCATGTAATGATTGCAGATAAAAGTATGCATTAATTAGCAGTAGCTCACCTTGATCAATATTGAACTTCTCCATAAGTCTTATAACGTGCTTTGTGAGCATCTTGGGTCGAATTCCTCCCATGTGATGTCTTGACAGGGAGAGCCTCGGAAACTGCCTGTGAAAGACAAGACTCAGCAATCCTTTATACAACATTGATAATACGCACAAATACTGTTATTTCAAACACATTCAGACCAGGCCCATACCTAATTATTTGGTTCACGTCAAAGTTTTGATGGCACCAAGAGTCCAGGAGAACAACAAGTGCTTGTTCGAGGTGTTTGTTGCCTTTTACGTACGACTCTACCACCGACAACTTATCTTGCAAGATGAGTGGTACACACATCTATAAAGGGTGGTGACAAAATATCATTGTTGTAAAGGCGTGCTTAAAAATGTTTTCTAGGGATTAAACCACCTGCTTATGATTTCCATGCATTATGTGGATAGACATGACTCAAGACACTCCGTATTGAAATAGACTTGGCAATTTGAGCTTGATAAATGTTATTGTCGTTTGATGTAAAAGCACCCAGGTCAACCAATCACCTCAGTTAAAGTGATTCTTTGAAACGGTTCAGTATTCTGAACTGTTAGTATTAGTTAGCAATTTGGCCTACGTGCAGGACTGTACAAGGACTCTGATTATTTTGACTATGATGTGACTGTCTCTGTGTGACACGTCTTTCCATGTGTGACGTGACACTAGCTGCGTTTGAATAATGCGCAAAAACTTTTTCGATACATTTCAAAATTCGAAAAACCTGTAATTCGCAAAAGCGGCCGTTTCCATTAAGACATATTCGAATAAGTATACACTATTTTCGCGCGTTTATTCACTAGTTTCTAGTACGTCAACATGGAAACAGAAGTAAACAACACTTTGATTTACGTGATATATATTAATGTCTTGACTTCTGCTGCGGCTCTCATCCTCTCTGACCCCGGGAGAAACTGTGGCTGCTTTGACAGCTCCGCAAACGCGCGTGGTCATGTACCGAGCGCGGACCATAGACGCGCGCACAGAACCATAGACACGGGTCTTGCCTGTCTCCCTCGTCTCTCCCCCATGCCTCTCCCCCGTCTCCCCCCGTCTCTCCCCCATGATGCCTCTCCCCCGTCTCTTCCCCGTCTCTCCCCCATGCCTCTCCCCCGTATCTCCCAAGTCTCCACACGAAGCGCAGCCAAAACTCACTGAATAAAGCTCAGCTCGGCTTCCTCCGCTATATCGAAATAAGTGTTTCCATTGCCGTTTTGCGAAAAACTTAATTTCGATACGTCCAAAAAACCACCTATTTTAAGCGCATTAACTTTTTATCGAAAAACTGTGGTTTATTCGAAATTTGCGCGTTTCCATTAGACATTTTATGATGCGCAAATTCAAATTTCGAAATTTGATGCTAAATGGAAATGCAGCTAATGACTATATAAACTGTGTACTGCCTTTATTCTGTCTGAGAGAAAGAAACAATGGAAACCACTGGAACTTGAGAGAAACTTAAACTTCCAGAGTTTGGCGCACCACGATCCGTCTCTGTCTGATTCATTCCTGAGAGATTATTTGATTATGAACGAGTCCTTCAGACTAAAAGTGTGAACACACCATAAAGCATTTAATGGTACAGTATTTAACGTCTAAAGAAACAGGTGGCGGACCCCAATGTTTTGTCTTACCTCCTCCATCATTAGTTCATTCTGCATCTTCAGTTTAATGGCAACATCAAGTGCCTTTGAACATAGAGTTAATCTCACAGTAATAGCCATGAATGGTCCATCTTTGAGCACAGTCTACGTACCTCTTTATAGCAGTGGAGTGTGTGCAGCCTGGAAATCTGAAATCTGAGCAATGCAGGATCCATAGAGCCCAGATCGTAGATTTCTATTAGAGCATCTGCAGAGTTTGGTTGTGTGGCCGTGAGCAAGCGCAGGGCTTGTTGCTGTAGTGAAAGCACTTTTTGTTCTGGTAGACAACTCAAGCTCACCTTGATGAAGAAAAAAAATATATTCACAGATACAATATGATTAGATTGAACTTTAATTAATCTCAGTGGAGAAATTATCTTAATAAAAACAACAAGACAGTGACAAGTTGAACGATAGAATAAAATAATATTGTGATTATGTAATTGAAGTCATTAATTGGATTATAAACTTCAATGCCTATGCCAAACAACAGTCACTGTATACTGCATGAAGTCAAGTCCTCACTTAACATTATTCTTTTCAAGGGTATGTTTAAAGGAGGAAAAGGAAGAAGGAGCACCCTGAGGAAACCTATGCAGAGATGGGGAGAATATTAAAAAACTCTCCTCAAAAAGAATGATACACACAAATGAAATGAACCCAGAATGATTTGCCATAAAACCCCTGACGCCATAGAGGCCTTGAAAGCAGATCTATGTAATCGAACACTGACCCTGGTAAAGCCTATGATGTTTTTTTGTCCGCGATACTCAAAATTTACAACAAACATTGTCCATTAATAAAACACTGCACTAAGAATTGGGCGAAAGAAGAGAAGCCATGGATAACCAAAGGCATACTTAAGACAAAATAGAGAACTATGGAAACCAAAATAAAATAGTTAATAAATAAAATAAAAGTTAATTACTATAATAAGATTTCATGAAAGAACATATCACTATAAATTATTGGAAAAACACAAGATTGATACACAGGATACCTGGAACCTGCTAAATGGCATTATGAAGAAAGGGAAACAAATAGAGAGATTGATACTTTATTGACCCCCGTAGTAGAAATTCAGGTGTAGAAGAAATTCAGCAGTAGAAGACTCGGTGCAACAGTCAAAGAAGAGAGGTAAAGAAGTAGAGTAACAGGGAATTTACACAGTAGGCGTAAACAGCGCGTACGCGTTTACTGCGTGCAAATTTTTTTTGGAGTATCTACACAGGCCGTGTGCGCAGGTCTGAGGCTTCTGATGCTGTCCCTGTGTAGTCTATGGAGCAGTGTAGAGGACAGTACGGGCCAGAGGACTGATGTAGAGCAACACAGATCACATGCATGTGTTTGTCTTCATGGTCTCTGTGCTGGTTTGGCCAGACCCAAGACTTTATGAAATAAAAAAAACGATGTCCAGAATCACTGTAAAACCTGCTGCTCCTCCTGCTGATGTTTAGACACAAGTGCTGTGTGTGTGTTGATGCAATCTAGAGCCAAGGGCCGCTAGAAAAATCATGTTTTACATGAGATTTCAATGGGAGACGCGTTGGTGCACGCACACAATTAGAAATCCATCCTAAATTAGAGCGCAGCTTCGCGTCATACGTCCGTCATACGCGTGTATAACGCTAGAAGTGTAAATATCATCATAGGTTAACATGGAACCTACCTACCTGGATACTAGAGAGTTAGCTTGTTTTAGACGTTTGGAGAAAGGTTTGACTAAATCAAATGGTCCATTCTTGTTGTGTGGTCGGTTGTACGGCCCTCTGGGGCCAAAATAAAGTTTTTTTTGTCTAATTCCTTCTAAAAAGAACAGCGAAAAACGGTCGTGGTAAATTGGTCCGCACATTAAAAAAGGGTTGCCCCTTTATGCTGTCACCTACGGTAAACATAGAAAGGGAAGCCGGGGGGATAAAAATTCATAAAACATTCTAAGAGCGCCCAGCCACTCTGCGGAGGAATCTCCGTCGTTGTATCCGCGATCTCGTTCTTTCGGTCATTACCCAAAGCTCATGACCATAGGTGAGGGAGGGAACGAAGATTGACCGGTAAATCGAGAGCTTTGCCTTTCGGCTCAGCTCCCTCTTTACCACAACGGTCCGATACAGCTCTGACTGCAGACGCTGCTCCCTCTTCACCACAACGGTCCGATACAGCGACCGCATCACTGCGCACGCTGCACCGATCCGCCTGTCAATCTCACGCTCCATCCTTCCCTCACTCGTGAACAAGACCCCGAGATACTTGAACTCCTCCACTTGAGGAAGGACCTCTCCACCCACCTGAAGAGGGCACTTGTTCAATGTGATGATGAATTTTAAACATTGCATTTTGGTTGCTCATCCCTACGGCTTCCTTTTCCAGGTTTACCGTAAGTAACAGCATAAAGGCGCAACCCGCTTTTAATGTGCAGACCACTTAGGTACCTATTAGCGGCACGGTGGCTGAGTGGATAGCACTCTCGCCTCTCAGCAAGAAGGTCCTGGGTTCGAATCCCGGCCGGACCAGGGCCTTTCTGAGTGGAGTTTGCATGTTCTCCCTGTGTCTGCGTAGGTTTCCTCCGGGTACTCCGGTTTCCCCTACCACTAAAAATATGTACAATAGTTCTGGCATGTGCCTCCTGTTCGGCGACCCCGCCCCCATCTCTGTGTGGAGTGAGAGACAAGTGCCCAAAAATAATAACAATTGTAAACCGCTTTGTGACTCTGGTCTGTGAAAGGCGGTATATAAATAAAGCTTACTTACTTACTTACTACTATTTATATACTGAACCTATATCCATAATCAGATCCTCTGCAGATGTGTCCTATAATGTTCAATTCATGATAATAGCTTCTTCCTGGTTTGCCGCGATCGTTTTTTATGTGCATTAAAACATTATTTTTGTCATGAAAAAGTTAACAAATAATTCTGAAAACCTCCGTGCATGTGTATTAATAATGTATATGTCTAATGTGTTCTCTCATTAACATTCAAATGTGTTACGGAAACGTAGGCATAGACCAATCAGAAAGGAAGGGGGAGGAGCTTGCGTCATTTTTTTCAAATCAAGCACCTCTCTCTCTCTTTCTGACAAACTGCAGACAATCACTTTAACATTTAAATGTGTTGATCCATTAATATGTGTTATTGAGCATGGCTGGCTTCGATAGCTTCTCTCACACAGACAGAAGTAATAAGTGACAGCCGCTGAAAGCCCGTTGTGACGAACCCAGAGTAATCAATTTTACACACCTGAAGTACAAGCAGAGTGCGTTGCCAAAGGGCAGCGGCCATTATTGGTTTGAGAGTCTGTTATGAAGAAATAATGTTCGGTAGAACATTTTGAAATTGTATTCAAATTAATGGAGCATTCTGCTGCTGCTGTGAGGAGCTGTATAATACATTATGATTAAATATTCACATTTTTAATTTAATAATCTCTCCTCTGGCACGTGCACCGAAAAGTAGGCGCTTGGGGGAAGGAGCTTGGGTCGTTATTTTTTTAAAATCATGTACCTCTCTCTCTCTTTTCTGACAAACTCCAGACTATCATTTTAGGGCCGGGAAAGCGGACACGTCTTTTTTTCTTTTTATGACCTATCCTCTTCATTGATCAATTCTCTTGACCATAACCTGTGATGAGAATTATCAGCGGATCCGCGAATTCCAACCTTTTCTCACTGAAAATATCATTTCTGTGAAATGCGTGACCGCGGGCAGTTGTTAACATCCTCCGTTCTGACCCCGGGGCAACTGTGACCGTTTTGACACAGCTCAGCGAACGCGCAGCCGTAACGAGGTCATGTACCGCGGACCATAGACGCTCGGACCATAGACGCTCGGACCATAGACGCTCGGACCATAGACGCTCGGACCATAGACGCTCGGACAGAATCGTACATGCACGATCAGGACCATCCCCAGCTTGTTGCACAGGTCCTGTCCGTCTCTCCCCCATGTCTCCCCCCAATGTCTCGCAGCCTAAACTCACTGAATTAAAGCTCAGGTACCTAAATTTAGCTTGCATTAACAATGCATGTTGTTTGTGCACAAAAGTAAAATGTTGTGAACAAATCAAACAAAACCACAACAGGTGTATTTTTTGCTTAGTTAGGAAAGAGCCCTGTGAATCATTTTTTGACTTTTTAGTGGCACTTTATTGCCAAACTATTTTTGACTTATTGTATTGAGAAACATGTGTTAGTCTCACATTATTTTTGGTTGTTTTATTACCTTTCCTGTGCGGAAGTTGTATATTTTTTGTATTATTCTACTGAAGGTTTATAATAATACATCCCATTCTTATTGAAAGCCATAAGTGTCAACTCTCAAATTCTTTAGAAATGATGTTTCTATCTGCAACAGAGGCCGAGATATCAATCATTTAGTAGATGTTAAATTTCAGGAAAACTTCAGGTTATGGAGGTGGTTCTGAAGTCGGCCTTAAGGGGTTAAAGCGGTAGGACCAGATAAGAAATAAAACAAAATAAGAGTCAATTCCAATTCAAGAACATTTTCAGACTGGAGATTGAACGTACCTGAGAATGTTCTTTCATCCATGTCTGGAATTCCTTAAGGATATGGAAGCCAAGGGTGTGGCTCCGACCTTTTTGTTTGCTAGGACAGCTCTCCAGGATTGTTAGGATAGACTCCAGGGGATCGTCGAGTTTTGAAAAGCCCTGGAGTGCAGCCAAATGCAGCTATGGGGGGAAGAAGGAAAATAATAACAGCTTTGAGAATGTTGATTGAAGGAAAAATGTAGCATACAAATACATAATAGTAATGTACATTTCATATAAGCAATATTGTAGAAACAGTATAAGAAAAGGTGTGTGTGTGAGAAGATTAAGACATCCTTTATTCGTCCCGCAGTGGGGAAATTTCAGTGTTGCATCACAAGTTATAGAATAGTAGGAAAGAGGAGAACACAGCACAAGATAAGTGAACAATAGCTATACTAATTAAAATAAAATTAAAATCTCCTACTCTAACATCAAATAAGGAGTATAAAATCTCTATCTTGAAAATAATAATAAAACAGAAGTATAAAGGTTTTATTATGTATTCTAGTGCAAGCAATGTGTAGTTATCTGTACAATAGCAGCAGCATGAATACTTTTGTTGCATCTTAATTCTCAAAACAGATGTCACCCACAGTTCTCAAGTTCATTCAGTGCAGCACAAATTCCTTCCTTCCTACAGACAGACGCTCTGGTTTCCTCATTAACAGACTCATGGTCACACAAGTGAGATTCATTTAAACATACCGGTATCCAAGCTCCCGCTCCTGTTCTTTCATGTGCAGTGTCTGGTGCACAATCAGATCACTCCAATTGTGATCTTTATTGCAATTATGTTTTTAGAAGTTATTTTTACTTGTTTAAACCTATGTAGCAAAACCTCATATCGCAAAACCATATGTAGCTTTGCTCTTACAGGTGTTATAAAGTGGTCACAATCACAATCTAAATCAGGGGTCTCAAGCCCAACCGGCTAAGCCGGTTTGGGGACCTTTAATCTAAACCTTTGTTTCCCATGTCTTTAACAGCAGGTTAAAGATATTGTCCATTCTCACTTTGATTATTAATGCAGGTTTATATCGGGATTGAACCAGTTGGAAATGAAGTCTCTAGAAGGTCTCGGGAAAGAGACACTGCCGAGCTGCATTTGTGGAGAAGATTACACAAAAATCCGCTAGCTTACCCTTTAGCATCATGCATGCCATTATAATATTAGAACATTAAGGGTTGTCTAACTTTTGTTCATTTTTTCCCCATAAATATTCAGATTATATTTGAACATTGAATTTAATTTTCCCAGCCCTAAAATGTATGCATGGGGAGAAGTGTAGACTCTGTGGCAGCTGTGCTGGAGAAGGATGAGGGCTCTAATGCAGGGCATCCTGGGTAACTCCAGACACCCTCTGCATGACACTATGGCAACTCAGAGGAGTAATCGTAGCAACAGGCTTATATCACTGCCCTAAGGAACGGAACATTTTAAGGAGATCCTTTGTTCTTTCGGCTGTCAGACCGTACAACAGACCTGTACGAGTCTTCTGCTGCTGGACACCTGATTTTCTCCTATGGGGGTCAATAAAGTATCTATATCTATAATAATAATAATAATAATAATAATAATAATACTACATTTTATTTCTTAGGCACCTTTCTTGACACTCAAGGTCGCCTTACATACAAGTAAAAAGTGCATTTTATATATTTATAACAGTTAAAATACAAAGTTAAAAGCATCATGGATAGAGGAAAGTGTGGTTATGATGTTAGGCTTGTCTAAACAGATGAGTTTTGAGGTGGATTTGAAGAATGTGAGTGAGTCGGTGTTACGGAGGTCAGGGGGGAGAGTGTTCCAGAGCTGGGGAGCAGAGCGGCTGAAGGCTCTACTCCCCATGGTGACGAGGCGGGCAGGAGGGACCAGGAGCTGGAGAGAGGAGGAGGAGCGGAGGGAGCTGGGAGGTGTGGAGATCTGGAGGAGGTCAGTCAGGTTATGGAGGAGCAAGGTTGTGGATGGCTTTGTATGTGAGGAGGATGTCATGTCATTTTCTATTCCTTTATTAATCCATTTCTGGGTCGGGGGGGGGGGGGGGGGGGGGGTGGCAATCAGAGCTGCCACCCAAGTCTCATAACCCTAACCCTCGCTGATCCTCCTGCAGGTGGTGGGTACACAGGAAGATGGCTTCTCTGTCAATGACTAGATGGCCTTGGTCTTTCAGCGGGGGCTTCAGGCGATGTGGGGTTAAGTGTCAGTGGGAGCAGGTGACATGGGTCGTGGTGGGCTCGAACCCATGACCATTGGGTCCAAAGACCAGCTCTACCAACTGAGCCACTGTCGCCCCATCTATATCCATCTATATATATATGGTCCAAATCCTTGTTGCATACTTTCTGTAGTGTAAACTTGATTCCATTTCTGAAAAATCATTGCGTTTGTCTCCTATATGATAATTATTTATTTGAATGGGACAGTGCATGTCAATGAACAGACACATTAGAAACATGAACGTAAACAAGCCAGATTATTTTCAAAGACTAATTTACATCTGTTGTTCCATTGGGTTAGGGTCATAAGGGTTAAATACAGCAACAACATAAACGAAATGAACACAGCTTGCATTCCAGCACAGGCCACACATTAATAGTCACAATATTAGAGTCCACATCATTGCACACCCAACAATTGCACACATCCTATTATTGCACACAAAGTTATTGCACACACCCCACATTTTTTATCCAAACTGACAATGATTCATAAAGGCAAATCATAAAAAATGATATTGCACAAAATGTATGTGGTTGTTTGTATAGAATTTTACTAAGGATGATTTACTGATTTCAACCAGGGAGGAGACCCCAGGGAAAACCCAGGAGACGCTGGAGGGACTTGTCTCTCAGCTGGCCTGGGAACGCCTTGGGGTCCCCCCAGATGAGCTGGATGAAGTGTGTGTGGATAGGGAAAAGTCTGGGCGTCTCTGCTTAGACTGCTGTCCCCGCGACCTGGCAACGGATGAAGCGGAAGAAAATTGATGGATGGATGATTTCCACCATTCAAAATGGGATTTTGATTCTGATGCATCTCGCATGTCGCCTAACTCTTGCCAGACCCTTGTAGTTCCGCCATGTTCCACCAGAGGCGTTTGGCTGAACACAAGGGTCTGGGATCGAGCGCAATGCAAACTCCTTCTGGAGATCAAAAAATAATCAGCCAATCAAGATCACCGGAGTAACGTCGGGTTTGCACCGCCTTCTCGTGCATGTCCACAGCAGCCAAAGCAAAACCGGACATATGATGGCGGACATAAAGTCTGTGAATTAAAAAAAATTAAAAGTTTAAATACGAACAAATTAAGACACGGATGTCACTTTTAAAGCAATTAAAGGCGAGATGTTCATGGTTCCATGGGGTTATATGTGTGTTTTAAGAGTCAAATCTTTGTGTAAAGTGTGGTTTAAGTACTAGTTTAAGTGCTCTTGTCACAAAACTACGCAGCAGGGTTTCCAGTTTGGGTGGTTTCCGCATAATTTTGTTCCAAGCGACTTGTAGGTAATAAATAGACAAAAAGACAAGAGACAAGACAAGAGATACGTTTGCAATAAGTTTTAAGTAGGGCTGTCAAAATTATTGCGTTAACGCGCGTAAACATTTTTTTTTCATTAATCGCGTTCAAAAAATTAACGCATTGACGTATGTGCCGAATGACCCGCTCATGCATCCCATATTAACACTCAGAAGTGCCGCTCATAGGCTTCTCATTTTAAGAAACCCTCTCCCCTACGCTCTCCTTCCATGAGCCATGCACATAGTTTTAGTAGCGATCTGATAGGCATCAGTTAGCATTAGCATAACTTCTTATAAGCTGTACATCAATCAATGATGAAACGGTACAAAAGCAACGCACTGCTATAACTGAAAGATTACCGCTAGTTTCCAGTCCAAATTTAGTCCAAGGCGGTCCCGCTCCCGCAGGTCTCTCCAGAGGATGGATGTAAGATACTGTAGCTATATTCACCCGGTCTTGATTTCTTCTTTGATCATTTATTTTGCTTTAGTTCCGTCTTCTCCTCCTCACTGTTGCGTCTTTTGGGCTGTTTTGCTGTGTCTGCAGTTACAGCCAGAGGAAGTATAGCCAGCTTCTCCTGTCATGCTGCTCAGGTTTACCTGCAGACTAGAGGATGCAGCCTGTATGTAACAGTGCTGCCACTTGTTGGAGGAGAACGAGCATCACGCAAAGTTTCTACTCAGCACTTTTTATGGCCTGAATTCATAAACCAGCTGAATCAATTAGCTACATTTTTCCTTGCCGAGTGGGTTTCAATGGACTGTGGACAGTTTTCGGTTACTAAACAAGAGGCCCTCTTTTTGCATTTTTTAGAGGAAATAATACTGTCTACTGTTGTTTTAATAAACAAATACAGTACATATGTACACTATGTTGTGATTTAATAGTAATTTAATAGTTCAAAATGCGATTAATCACGATTACTACATTTTAAGCTGTAATTAACCCGATTAAACATTTTAATTGTTTGACAGCCCTAGTTTTTAGCCAAAAACCTAGGGCTGTCTCACAGGTTTTGGGTTGGAAAATCTTTCCGGCATTTGGCAACCCTGCAACGCAGTGAGGAGTCGTGTGCTTCGATGTGAGTGATTGAAGGAACACGTCATTCAAAGATAACAGACAAGTGGTCTATCCAATCACATACAAGGATTTTCTTTACAAGGCTACGACTTCTGACATTCTTCCACTATGAAGCAGACCCAGACCCTTGTGAGAGGCTCAGCGAACTACAAGGGCAATCCAAGATGGCGCCTTATTCAAATGAATGGCTGGTGCTCAGTGGCGCACTTGCCAAAGATTAACGGAACTCGCCCATTTTTGGGCATCGTCTGGTCTTCCTGGTTCTGCGCAGTGGACAAGCTCCCATGATGCGTTGCCCCAAAATACGCGTGTGTGGCTCTTATGCACGTGCACAGAGTGGCTCGGCCACGCTCTGACCAATCAGCACTGCTCACCAGAGCGGGAGCCAAAGCGGGAACCAAACGAGCAGAGTTTGTGGCAGTAAATTAGAAAAAAACGAAGCATTTAAGAAGAAAAAAAGTGCAATAGTCTACGTTACAAGAGGGCACAGTACCAAAACTATTGTTTTTTTACAAGGATGAAAATGGAACATTTCAACAA